GAGCTGTAATCTCCCCTTACACTGTACTTTCTGTTCCCTCTCCTGTACTGTCCTTTCCTACCTTCTTTCTAGCAAGTGCTTAGTCATCCTTCAGGGCTTGGTTTAGATGCCACTTCTTAGAAGTGTTCCTTAACTCTCCTCCCCTGGCTGGTTAGTGGTCTCTTCTTTATGCTCTCCCAGACTCCTGTAACCCATCCAAGCACTTCTCATACTCTGTTGTCGTTGTTCTGTTCCAACCACTAGATTCCTAGTCTGTTATAAACCCAGCATCCTGCATGTCTGGCACGTGGTGCACACCTGGGTATCATTGGATGAGTGGAAGAAGCCATGAACCTGTGGCTAGCGGACATTTGGAGCAGACATTCTGAGATCCTAGGGAGGTGGTGAGAATTCTGGGCTTTTGTATTAACTGCATGAGATCCATTTCCTCACTTTGTTGCCCCTCTGAATTCCAGGGCTCAGGCAGTAGGTAAGGGAGAGGGGAAGCTGCAATCTGGGCAGGGGTCCAGGGACCCCACAGTTTCTATGCCCTCTGAGCCTTGCCTGTCAGTGGCCCTAGGTTTATGTTCCCCACAAGAGCCATGTAATAAGCTGAAATTCCATGACCAGGAAAGCACAGGTGATGTGAATGTTTTAAGATATGAGAAGTGGAAAATTGTAAGGACTGCAAGCCTTGGATAATATGATAAGCCATAACCCAGCTGGGGTGAAACCAGGAGTGCTCTCATCCAGTCCCTGGAGGACAACTTCCTGCTCCTTGATAAGGTTCCCTGTGGAGGCTCCACCAGGCAGGGAGCATTGCAGGGAGGTAGGGGGGCCAGTGTGTGGCCAAGGGTAGCTGTGGTCTCACAGTCACCCAGAGCCACAGTTACAGGGGCTGCAGAATGGGATTCCTGGACCTGAAGGTTGATGAGTAACATCCAGCAGAACCTGGACAAGGGCATGTGGTTGTGGCTCTGGGAGGCTTTATCCAGCTCAGCACATCATCCCCTGTTGCCTCAAGAGAGTAAGGAGAGTTTCTCC